GGATAACCCAGAACACCTAACATCTGGAGGCCATCCACAGGGGGTACAGAATAGAGTTCACAAGGGCCCCCCCCTCAGAGATTCTTTGCAACACCCCTGCCAAAGGACAGGGCCATGGCGGATGCGTTGGTGGACCCTCCTACAAGATATGCTCAGTCAGAATGTTATCTGCCAGTTGAGAGAAGAGGAAAGGGGAAGTGGATTCTTCTCCCATTTCTTCCTAAAAAAAAAACCGTCAGGTGCATTACAGGATGATATTGAATCTGCGGAAGGTGAACGAGTTTCGTGAGGCCCAGCAAATTCCGTATGGAGTCCATATACACGGTGAAGGATCTCCTTTCACCTGGGGTGTTCATGGCCTCGATAGATCTGCAAGATGCATACCTGCATGTCCCGATAAGAGAAGACTCCAGGGAGATTCCTGGAGGTTTTTGCTGCTGGAAGGCGAAATGGGTCCGGTGCTATTTCAGTTCAACCACAACTCCCCTTCCCTGTCGTGCGGCCCCGAGATCTTCACCAAGATTCTAGCGGAGCCTTTAAGAGTTTGAGACTGGAAGGGAATAAACATCATCCCCTATTTGGACGACCTGCTTTTATTTGCGGGCACAGAAGGTGGCCTGAGAACGCACATCGAACGTACGATATCTTTTTGCTGAAAGTTTGGGTGGCTTATCAACTAGTCGCAGCTAACCCCCTCCAAGAGGATTGTACTTGGGGACACGTCCTGGACTCTGTCCGCACACCATACCTCACATCAGGCAAAAAGCCCTCAACCTGCGGCAGGACACAAAGGCCCTCAGGAGGATGTCGACCTGCACGGTCAGACCGCGATGAGAATAACGGGCGGAGACAGCGGCAATACCAGGGGTGCAATGGGCGCAACTTCACTCCCAGGTTCTGCAAAATCACACCCTTCCCACTGGGACGGCAGCCGAGCAGGTCTGAATTCCAGGATCCGCATCACGCAGGAAGTGAAGGAGTCGCTAAAGTGGTAGCACTCTCCACTTTGAACGGGGAAGAAGTTGGAGGCTGGCCAGCCCAGTGCGGATCACCACGGATGCAAGCATGACTGGTTGGGGTGCCCATAGAAGACGGCCTTCGCCCCACCGCAAGCAGTGGACTCCAGCAGGTCGTCAAATTACAGGGAGCTGTTGGCAGTTTTCAAGGCACTTACGACCTTTCAGGAAAAGATAAGGGGGAGAGGTGTCCAGGTTCTCTCCGACAATACCACTGCAGTGGCATATTTGAACAGGGGGAGGCACAAGGTCCCCTCTGATGGAGTTGGCCGGATCCCTCCTGAGCTGGGCGGAGGAAAACCTGGAGTTCATCACGGCAGTACATCTGAAGGGGACTGAACCAATTGGCGGATCAGCTGAGCCGAGGAAGAGAGGTCAGCCAGACAGAATGGTGCCCAGCCAATCAGCGATCGATCAGATTTGCGCCAGGTGGGGCTCCCCCTCTATCGATCTATTTGCCAACGGCCAGAACACAAAGTCTGCCTGCAGAGGGACCCCAAAAGCGAGGGGATAGATGCGCTAGCCCAGCAGTGGAAGGAGACCTCCTTTATGCCCCACTCCATTCAGACTACTGCCGCAGGTGATACAGAAGATCCAAGTTGTCTCAAACCACAGTTGTTCTGATCGCACCATTCTGGCCCAAGAGATCTTGGTTCTCCCGGTTGAAGGAGCTCAGTTTAAGCGGACCCTTGGATGATTGCCACCCACACGTCCCCGCGATTTACTCACCCAGGGAGGGTGATGCATCCTCATCCAGAAAGGCTGTTCCTTAAGCGGCGTGGCTTCTGGAATAGCGGAAATGGGCTGTCGGCAAGAGTGGTCGCCACCCTCTGGAGGGCCGGAAGAGGTCGACGAAGCCTTGTACGACAAGGTCTGGAAGAAGTTTTCCGCCTGGAAGGTCAGAAACGCAGACCGGGCACGCCCATTTTGCATGCCGTTCTTGAATTCCTTCAAGCCGGTGCGGATAAGAATCTGGCCGCCAATAACCCTCAAAGTACAGGTAGCGGCTCTGTCGAACTTTCCTCGAGCTGAGGTTGGCGGCAGACCCCTTGGTAATCAGATTCCTGAAGGCTATCTCCAGGCGCCGTGCCCCGCCCTTGCCCAAAACTGCCAACATGGGGACCTGGGCACAGTCCTGAAGAGCTTTCAGCGGGGGGCCCTTCGAACCGCTGGATGAGTGTTCGCTCAAGGTTTTTTGACGCTTAAAACCATCCTCCTCAACGGCACTAGTTTCTGCCCGCAGGGTCAGCGAGTTGCATGCCCTTTCAGTGATCGAGCCGTACTGCACCATCTGCTTGGATAGGATCATCCTCCGCACGGACGCGGCCTTCCTACCTAAGGTCGCGTCACACTTCCATAGATCTCAGGAAATAGTAATACCTTCCCTGGAGGCCGATCCGGGCAGCACGGAAGACTATAGCAGGTTAGACGTTCGACGGTGTTTGATCACGTACATCGAACGCACGAAGACATGAGACACTCGTCCCGGCTTTTCGTCCTATTCCAGGGGGCCAAGGAAGGGGGACGGTGCCTCCAAGGGCACCATCGCCAGATGGATCAGGAGGCAGTTTCGGAAGGTTACAAGTCGGCAGGCCTGTCACCACCGCCCGGCCTAAAAGCCCACTCCACGAGGGCCACTGCGGCCTCCTGGGCGGAAAAAGGGGGGGCCTCCCCCGGACAGATCTGCAGAGCCGCAACGTGGTCCAGTTTCGCCACCTTCACTAAGCATTACAGGCTGGATCTGATCGGCAGCAAGGACCAGGCATTTGGCAGGAAGGTCCTACAAGCAGGGTGCCCGCCCTAATGTACGTATTTCTATTCTACTCCTCTCAAGTGAGCTGTCCTAGAAGATGACTCGGGAAAACGCAGTTATTTACCTGTTAACTGTATTTCCAGGAATCTTTTCTAGGACAGCGTAACTCCCCCCCGATTACTGTTTGATCTGCGAACCTATGGGGATGTCTTTATTACCGGTTTTCTTCTTTGTTTTCTCCTAGGCCTTCGGTCATATTCTTATACTGGGGGCAATGGGAGAGAGGACGCCTATAAAAAGGGGAAAAAAGGTGGAGCGGGTGTTTCCTGGGAGGAGCCCTATCTCTCAAGTGAGCTGTCCTAGAAGATTCCTGGAAATACAGTTAACAGGTAAATAACTGCGTTTTTTGTATATCTGCAATTTGATTTTAAAGTGATATTAAAAGGAGTGATTTTTTAAATTTAAAATAATAAAACACATCATACGTAAACTGCTCTGTACAATGGTTTTGCACAGAGTAGCACTGATCCTCCGCCTTCTGCTGATGCATCTGGCCCCTCCCCCTTGCCGAGTGCCCCCAGAGCAAGCTGCTTGCCCTGGGGGCACTTGTGTGTGCCCTCACTCCCAAGCCGCCTGTGTGTCAATGGGTCACAGAGCATAGCTCAGTCCCTCCCCCAGCTCCCTCCTCACTGGCTGTGATTGACAGCAGTGAGAGCCAATTGTTCCTGCTGCTGTGTCTCAGCCAAAGAGGAGGGAGAAACTCAGGAGAGCCGAGGCTCTCAGGCACATCGCTGGATCAAGATCGGGCCCAGGTAAGTATACAGGGGAAGCTGCACACTGAAGGTTTCAGCCTTTAGAACCACTTTACCAAAGCATTGCACCCATGTGCTGTATTGATGATTTTTTTATGAATGCCTAAAAGTATAACTAAATGTAAAACTTTTTTCATTTTGGATAGAGTAAGGGAGGGTTAGCTGATTTCAGTTTTTTTTTTGCCATCTGTGTCCCCATCGGAGAGATTTCTCTTCACTTCCTGTCCCAAAGCCAAAAAAAGTCTTTAGTTTTCTATCTTGACTAGCCTCAGGTGATACAGAGATGAAACAAATCATCCTACGTAAGTTGTATCTGAACGGATGTAGAGGAGAGAAGGCTGCAGAGAGACAAAGTACTGAATTTTAAAAAGCTTGTCTGAGCCATCAGTACGAAAAAAAAAAAAAAAAAAAAAAAAAAAAAAAAAAAAAAGGGGGGGGGGGGCAGAGAGCTGAAATTACACTCTGCATAGTTCAGCAGGGAGAGCTCTGAGAGCTGAATGGAGACAAACCCCCCTCCACACAGCTCACAGAAACAGAGCTGAAGCTGTCAATCTGCTGGAGGTCCCTCCCCTGTCACCATTTTTCTTTTGGTGTCAGGAAAACTTGTCAGAAGTGATTCATGCTGATATCAGAGGAAAGAGGCAGCAGACAGAAATGACACTTAGTGCTCTTGATAGAGACAAGTACATACTATAGAGGGATATAGTTCATGTCTGAGGTTTACAACCACTTTAAATTGAATTTTTTATTTTTTTCCCTACAATTCGACTCTGTGCAGACAGTGGACCATGTCTGCATAATGAAAAGGCCACTTATAGTCTCTATCTGATGTCCATGTGACAGGGGGGCACCAGCTGCTGTATCGTGCACACTGTGCCCTTATCAATAAAGTACTTTTATCGGAAGGATGAGTTGCCGGCTCTTCCCTTTATACTCTCATGCAGGGGCGGACTGACCATTTGGAATCTTGGACACTGCCCGAGGGCACAGGGTCAGTAGGGGGCCCCATGATATGCCCCTGGTACCTTTTTCATAGGCTTTTGAGTTTGGGCAAGGACACAGGGGCCCCATGATCCCCTATTGCCCGGGGGCCCCATGAGTTGTCAGTCCGCCCCTGCTCTCATGCTGTTTAACTCCTTTCATATTGGGCACTTTTACCCCCTTCCTGCCCAGGCCAATTTTCAGGTTTCAGCGCTCTCACACTTTGGGTACAGTGTTGCATGACTGCGCAATTGTCATTCAAACTAAATTTTTATCATTTTTGTTCACACAACTAGAGCTTTCTTTTGGTGGCATTTAATCACCACTGGGGCTTTTTGTTTGCTAAAATAACAAAAAAAAAAAAAAAAAAATTTGCAAATAAATAATTGTTCTTCATAAATGTAGGATAAGATGTATTCTGTTACATTTCTTTGGTGAAAATAACCCAAATTAGGATGTATTATTTAGTCTGTAGGAAAGTTATAGAGTTCACAAACTATGGTATAGATCTGAAAATTGATCAATCCTGAAGTAATGACAGCCAATCTAATTTCTTGAGGCCCAAAAAAGTCAGGACGGTACAGATACCCCCCAAAAGTCAGGACGGTACAGATACCCCCCAAATGTCAGGACGGTACAGATACCCCCCAAATGTCAGGACGGTACAGGTACCCCCCAAATGTCAGGACGGTACAGATACCCCCCAAATGTCAGGACGGTACAGATACCCCCCAAATGTCAGGACGGTACAGATACCCCCCAAATGTCAGGACGGTACAGATACCCCCCAAATGTCAGGGCGGTACAGATACCCCCCAAATGTCAGGACGGTACAGATACCCCCCCAAATGTCAGGGCGGTACAGATATCCCCCAAATGTCAGGACGGTACAGATACCCCCCAAATGTCAGGACGGTACAGATATCCCCCAAATGACCCCTTTTTGCAAAGTAGGCAGTCTGACGAAAATCATAAGAGGCATGGCGAGCTTTTGAAGTTGTAATTTTTTTGTCATAATTTTTTGGAAAATGAAGAAATTAAAAAGATGTTCAATTTTTTTTTTTTACATACTGTCACCAGTGCAGTACAGCGTCATCCTATAACTGGTGTGGTGGTGATCAGTGACACTGGTGACAGTACAAAAAAAAAAATTTTTTTTACATTTTTAATAATTTTTTTTATTACATTTTTTTCTCTTTTTTTTAAGACTTTCTTTTCATATTACACTATGCCCAAAGTAGTATAATAATAACATTGGACTACTTTGGGGAAGCGATCAGTTTTTTTTTACATACTTTGATTGCTCATAGCAAAAAATGTCTTTGCTATAAGAAATCATTTAACTGAATGAAATTAATTAATTCAGGTTTTTTTGTTGTGATTAGCTGTGATTGGCCCAGTCTGTGCATGTGATCACTGTGACCATTCACAGCTAGACACACTTGTATACAATGGATGACATGAAAGGAAACCATCCATTGTATCCAACTGTCATGTGACCTGCTGTGATTGGTCACAGCAAGTCACATGGTACTGGCAACGGGGCCGGTACACAGATCTGTGATCGGCCGTGTCCGAGGTACACAGTCAGTGACAGACCTCGCCACAGCGTGGCCCTGAGGGTACGCGCAAAAAGCGATCCGGGAAAGACGTCCTGTGATACCCTCCCGGAGGGAAGAGAGGTTCGCCCAGCTGTCATAATAATATAGGCTGGGCCAGGGGCGGACTGATAACTCATGGGGCCCCCGGGCAATAGGGGATCATGGGGCCCGTGTCCTTGCCCAAACTCAAAAAAGCCTATGAAAAAGGTACCGGGGCATCTCATGGGGCCCCCTACTGACCCTGGGCCCTTGGGCAGTGCCCGAGTTTCCAAATGGTCAGTCCGCCCCTGGGCCGGGCGGGAAGTAGTTAAAGTGCCAGGAAGACACAGTTTCGGAGCACCGTTGGTTACCTCCAGGGGGATGAACCTAGGCGTACATCTTCGTTTGTACACCAGGTGGACTGTTACGCATGCAGAACTGATAGCAAACAAAAGGTTTTAAAAATTAAAACAAAAAAGTTAGGCAACCTTGGTTAGTGTTTGTGGAGTCGGTTGTGGAGTTTCTCTCTGCAGATTCTTGGAGTTCCGGCTTTGACTGTTGCTGCCTAAAACAGAACATTGCACCAGTAAGGGCTATTAATGAAAAAGGTAAAAAACAAAAAGAAATCTTTTATATGTAGGAATATTAAAAATGCAATTGCACGCCCCTGTGACCCGTCTCAGCACTTCACATGTCAACACGCGTGCCCTGCCTAGTCTAGTCTACTCAAGCTTCCGGTCATAGGGGTGCGCAGTCTGTTGCATTAGAGTGTGCACCCAAAGCTTTTTTTTCCTTTCTTTTTTTAGGAACCCCTTTGGTGACATATCAGGGGTCTAAGAACAAACCCCTGATGTCCCACTTTGGAGACTGGGTAAAGGACTGAGAACAGAGATTCCCCAGTCCCTTTCTCTGCAGCACTGGGCAGTGAATGAACGGGAAGTGCTCTGTGTGGAGCGGTTTCCCATTCACAAACTGAAGCATAGTAAACAGTTTACTATGCTTCGGTTATGAATGAACACAGTGATCAGTGTTGATTACTCATTATGTTAATTCAGAAAAAGAAGGGAAGGGAAATTAAATTCTTTACCAGCCCTTCCCCCATTCTCCACACTGAAATATCCTCCGCAGCAGCTGTCAGGAGAGGAGGCAAGCTGGCTGCAATCTGGGGAGGGTGGAAGAGGTAGAGACACGGGGGTCCCCGTCAGCAGGGGGGAATCTGCGCTGCACAAGGTAATTAGGGTGTGCTCATGCACACAATCCTATTTTGGCACAGGCAGAATCTGCATGTCAAGAAGTAGTCCTCTCCTGTAGCATGTAGCAAAGGGTGGCTATGGTAAGGCTCCATAAGACTCTGCAAGACAACGTAGCCACCTGAAAAACCAAAAAGCTGGAGCAGCAAACTTTGGCAAGCTGAATTTGAAAAAAAAAAAAAACAACCCCTGAAAGAACAGCAAAACAGCAGAAAAGATAAGTGCTGAGATCGGCAGCACTATTTCATATTTCAGTTTTAGAGTCTCAAAGTCATATCTCTACCCTCATCCAATCACAGAACAACATGTTTAGCTTTAAAGTGTTACTAAACCCAGGACCCCGCATTCACTATATCCGCTCTCCCCGGACCCCGCATTCACTATATCCGCTCCCCCCGGACCCCGCATTCGCTACATCCGCTCTCCCCGGACCCCGCATTCGCTACATCCGCTCCCCCCCCGGACCCCGCATTAGCTACATCCGCTCCCCCCGGACCCCGCATTAGCTATATCCGCTCCTCCCGGACCCCGCATTCGCTACATCCGCTCTCCCCGGACCCCGCATTCGCTACATCCGCTCTCCCCCGGACCCCGCATTCGCTACATCCGCTCCCCCCGGACCCCGCATTCGCTACATCCGCTCTCCCGGACCCCGCATTCGCTACATCCGCTCTCCCCGGACCCCGCATTCGCTACATCCGCTCCCCCCGGACCCCGCATTCGCTACATCCGCTCTCCCCGGACCCCGCATTCGCTACATTTGCTCTCCCCGGACCCCGCATTCGCTACATCCGCTCTCCCCGGACCCCGCATTCGCTACATCCGCTCTCCCCGGACCCCGCATTCGCTACATCCGCTCTCCCCGGACCCCGCATTCGCTACATCCGGTCTCCCCGGACCCCGCATTCGCTACATCCGGTCTCCCCGGACCCCGCATTCGCTACATCCGCTCTCCCCGGACCCCGCATTCGCTACATCCGCTCTCCCCGGACCCCGCATTCGCTACATCCGCTCTCCCCGGACCCCGCATTCGCTACATCCGCTCTCCCCGGACCCCGCATTCGCTACATCCGCTCTCCCCGGACCCCGCATTCACTATATCCACTCTCCCTGGACCCCGCATTCACTATATCCGCCCTCCCCGAACCCTGCATTCACTATATCCGCTCTCTCCCGGACCCCGCATTCACTATATCCGCTCTCTCCGGACCCTGCATTCACTATATCCGTACACAGAACATGGAAATGCAATTATGTTAGTAAATATAAACTGCTAAATACCTTTTCACATCAGCAGTTAGAGCAGTCTTGTGACTTCTAGCTTGTAGGAGGAGTTTTCATTTTGCTCTAGGAGGGTGCAGGACCCCTGACCTCTGTGTGGACAGTGCTGATTGGCTCTGTGCTGATCACATGCACTCTCCCAAGGAAAAAAAAAACCCTCTCTAGTCATACCCACCAACCTGAGCATGTGCAGAGTGACTCCACACGATATGTCTTATCAGGAGATAAGAGGGGAACACTGGAAGAAGGGGAGGATCAGAGTAGTCAGCATAAACCGTGTTTTTACACAATGCGAAGGATTAACCCCTTAGGTCCCACAGTGAGTATAACCAGCATGCTTTGCTGCATCTACAGACTGATTGTACTGTTGGGGGTTCAGTAACACTTTAATGGCTACACAACTGCATTTATGGGCTTTACTCCGTTCTTACTTCTCAAAGTACATCTGTCTCCTCTGACGAAGCTCCTCTTGTGTCAGTGATTCCTGTCTGCAGATCTCCGACGTCTGCGGCTGGCTAGAGGAAGCCAATTCCGTGACGTTCTGGCGAGGTCCTCCTGAAATGATAATACGGGAGAAGACTTGCGGCTATTTCCTTTGTAGCTCAACTAGAACTACATCAATGGTAGACTATACAAAGGGTGCCTTGTTAATCCATCCAGTCCGGACGCTCCCCCCCCTTCCAGTCCGGACACTTCCCCCCTACTTCCAGTCCGGACACTTTCCCCCCTTCCAGTCCAAAGGGTCCACTTCCCCCCCCCTTCCAGTGACACTTTTAACCCCTTCCAGTCCGGACACCCCCCCCTTCCCGGACCCTTCCCCAGTCCTTCCAGTCCGGTCCGGACACTTTCCCCCCCAGTCCGGACGCTTTCACCCCCTTCCAGTCCCCCCCCCTTCCAGTCCGGACGCCCCCCTTCCAGTCCGGACACTTTCCCCCCCTTCCAGTCCGGACACTTTCCCCCCCCCTTCCAGTCCGGACACTTTCACCCCCCCTTCCAGTCCGGACGCTTCCAGTCCGGACACTTCCCCCCCCCTTCCAGTCCGGTCCGGACACCCCCCCTTCCAGTCCGGACGCTTTCACCCCCTTCCCCCCTTTCACCCCCCCTTCCAGTCCGGACGCTTTCACCCCCCCTTCCAGTCCGGACGCTTTCACCCCCCCTTCCAGTCCGGACGCTTTCACCCCCTTCCAGTCCGGACGCTTTCACCCCCCCTTCCAGTCCGGACGCTTTCCCCCCCCCTTCCAGTCCGGACGCTTTCCCCCCCCCCCTTCCAGTCCGGACGCTTTCACCCCCCCCTTCCAGTCCGGACGCTTTCACCCCCCCTTCCAGTCCGGAGGCTTTCACCCCCCCTTCCAGTCCGGACGCTTTCACCCCCCCTTCCAGTCCGGACGCTTTCACCCCCCCTTCCAGTCCTTCCAGTCCGGACGCTTTCACCCCCCCCCTTCCAGTCCGGACACTTTCACCCCCCTTCCAGTCCCTTCCCCCCCTTCCAGTCCGGACTTTCCCCCCCCTTCCAGTCCGGACACTTTCCCCCCCCCCTTCCAGTCCGGACGCTTTCACCCCCCCCCCCCCCCCCTTCCAGTCCGGACACTTCCAGTCCGGACCCCCCCCCCCCCCCTTCCAGTCCGGACACTTTCACCCCCCCCTTCCAGTCCGGAGGCTTTCACCCCCCCCTTCCAGTCCGGACACTTTCCCCCCCTTCCAGTCCGGACACTTTCCCCCCCTTCCAGTCCGGACACTTTCCCCCCCCTTCCAGTCCGGACACTTTCCCCCCCCTTCCAGTCCGGACACTTTCCCCCCCCCCTGTCCAGGCCAATTTTCAGCTTTCAGCGCTATCACATTTGAATGACAATTGCGCGGTCATGCAACACTGTACCCATATGAATGTTTAGCATTTTTTTGAGACAGATAACACTTTAATTTGATGGTATTTATTCACCGCTGGGATTTTTATTTTTTTTTTCTATATAAATTAAAAAGTCCAAACATTTTTAAAAAAAGTGTTTTTCTTATACAATTTTGCAAATAAATAATCTTTCTTCATAAATCTTGGCCAAAATTTATTCAGTTATCTTTTTAGTAAAAAAAAAAAAAACCCAGATTAGTTTATAACCAAAAATTATACTTTTTCTAATTTTTTTTACATTTTTATTTTATTTTTTTATATTATTATTTATTATATATATATATATTTTTTTTTTACATACGATCACCCTAACAGTACAGTGTCACCATAGTGACACTGTACTACTTTGTGGGGGGGGGGGTGATGATTTTTTGTTTGTGTTTTTTTTTTTTACACCGATTGCTTTTACACCCATAAAGGCTGTAAAAGCAAAAATTTGTCGTCCTCTCTGGCTGCATTCTTGCAGCCACTGAGAAATACTGATTGGTCACAGCTTGTCACATGGTACAAGGCTGATGTGAATTGCCATGTGATCCCTGTGATCGTTCACAGCAGATATCTTGGTATAAAGCCCTGCCCCTAGCACAGGGCTTGACAATTCTGCTTTAAAGCGGAGCTCCACCCAAAAGGTGAAGTTCCGCTGTAAGCCTTTGTTTCCCGCTCCCCATTAACGACTGGCACCTTTGGGGAGCGAGGGGGAGGGGTTATCCGAATTTGACAGCCATTGAGAAATACTGTGAGAGCTGTGATTGGTCACAGCTTGTCACATGGTACAAGGCTGTTGTGAATGGCCCTGTACCATGTGATCTCTGATCATTCACAGATTTCACACATAGTAAGCAATGATGTCAGAAGTGACAACTTGCTTACTACTCTTCATGTGATCAGTGATTAGCCACCAGAGGACACAGCAGGCACGGATCGCGGTGCTGCACGTTCCCAGGGAGTGTGCACAAGCAGGGAGCTGGGAGGCCGTTTATAAATGGCCACCCGCCCCTGCACTGCTCCCGTTCGGCCGTTTGTATACATGGGCCAGACGGGAAGTAGTTAAAAGACAGGTATAAAGCGTTCTGAATACCCTTGTTTAGGCATCTCTCACAGATTCCAATGGCAGTAGTTTGTGCCCATATCATCTCCTACAGGAAGGGACATTGCTTTCCACAATAACAGGATCTCATATACTGGAATTGTAAGTAATCTACTGTAGTCAGCTGTACCGTGCATACTGAGCTGGATGGCCCTGCGGAGATCCGCTTCCTCGTCTTCCATGTCTATCTGTTGTCTGCTTAAAGCAAGGGCCTTCTGTAGGTTCTCTTCATCCTCATCCATCATGGTGGTGGAGCCATCGTACAACCTGGTCCCTTCATCACTTCTCTGCACTCTGCATGACAGAATAAGACTCAATATTAAAAGGGTAGACTGAGAATGGTAAGGACCTGACCCCGCCTACAGGACGAGATGATTCCTAGACAGACAGAAAATAGGAATTTGTAACAGTTTAGAACGGATAGTAACACTAACTAAGGTTCTAAAGTCTGCTTGAGGTTGGGTTAAAGCGGAGCTCCACCCAAAAGGGGAAGTTCCGCTTTAAAGACTGGTCCCCCACTCCCCATTAAGGATTGGCACCTTGGGGGAGCGGTTACCCGAATTTGACAGGTACCCGCTCCCACTTCCACTGCGATTGCCTAGGCGATCAGAAGCGGAAGTTGGCCTCACCCCCCCCCTCCATTCCCGTAGTCTTCCTGTCCGTTTGATTACAACCCCTGTCAGTTTGATTGCAACCCCTGTCAGTTTGATTGCAATCCCTGTCAGTTTGATTGCAACCCCTGTCAGTTTGATTGCAACCCCTGTCAGTTTGATTGCAACCCCTGTCAGTTTGATTGCAATCCCTGTCAGTTTGATTGCAACCCCTGTCAGTTTGATTGCAACCCCTGTCAGTTTGATTGAAACCCCTGTCAGTTTGATTGCAACCCCTGTCAGTTTGATTGCAACCCCTGTCAGTTTGATTGCAACCCCTGTCAGTTTGATTGCAACCCCTGTCAGTTTGATTGAAACCCCTGTCAGTTTGATTGCAACCCCTGTCAGTTTGATTGCAACCCCTGTCAGTTTGATTGCAACCCCTGTCAAACTGACAGGGGTTGTAATCGATCCAAAATGAAAAAAAAAAAAAAAAAAAAAACGTTTTGCTGTAGGTCTACTTTAACCAACTCTGTACCTAAGCCCTGCCTATCCTGATCCACCAAGTCCAATGACAACATTATTGGCACCTGAGTCACCAAAACAAGCACCAGCAGATTTGTAGAATTTTGCTTCAACGGGACAAAACTAAATTCTTGGGTGCAGCTTATTCTCAAGCCATGACTTTAGTTACAAAGTGAAACCAACATCAGGGGTTGCACAGAAGGGTTCTTTCCTGGTAACAAGGCAGGAGTTGTGTATTTCTGCTACCCTGCTAATCAATATGCAGCAATCTGTTCCTCAGCTCCGTTGCACCCACTCAGATCCTGCCCACCTCACTAACAAAGACTCGGTGCTTGCTTTAGAAGAGCAATGAAAAATTTATGGAGCAGTGGACTTTCATTTTATCTTGTACTACCATCCTGCCTCTTGCCGTCACTTCATGTTAGGAGTTACTTGTGCTGAAATCCACTGGAAAAAAAATGATTGCCGTTATGTCTACCTTTGGTTTCGGACAGCCAGGTCCTCTCCAATGAGCCTCGGCCGCTGCATCTGCTGAACTTGAATCATCTGCAGGAGCTGGTCTGCCTCACAATCTGGAAGGTCCCCCTTCACTACAAAAATGGAGTAACCTGGATAAAAAAAAAAAAGGGTTACAGTATTCTGGTGAATGGCACTGTCAAACAGTGTGCTACAGGAGCTTCACCAATGAATAAAGCTATTTAAAAAAAAAAAAAAAGAAGAGTTGTGTACAGGTGCACCCATCCTTAACCACCTCCCATCCGGCCGTTGCATATAAACGGCCAAACGGTGGCAGTGCAGGGTCGGGTGGCTGTTTATAAACGGCCTCCCTGCACCCTGCTTGTGCCGCCACCCGGTGCCCGCTGTGTCCTCCGGACACAGTGAAACACCGATCGTCGGACGGGACCTCTGTACGAGGTCCCGATCATGTGATCACTGATTGGCCAATCAGTGATCACATGCAAAGTAGTAAGCAAGATGTCACTTGTGACATCATTGCTTACTACGTGTGAAATCTGTGAATGATCACAGAGGTCACATGGTACAGGACTATTCACAACAGCCTTGTACCATGTGACAAGCTGTGACCAATCACAGCTCACTCAGTACTTCTCAATGAGTGCAAGAATGCAGCCAGAGAGAAAGAGAAATGATTGCTTTTACATCCTATATGGGTGTAAAAGCAATGTGTAAAAAAAAAAAAAAAAAAAAAAATCTTCATCACCCCCCAGAAGTAGTACAGTGTCACCATGGTGACACTGTACTGCTAGGGTGACAGTATGTAAAAAAAAAATAAAAATAAAAAATAATATAAAAAAATAAAATAAGAATGTAAAAAAAATGTTTAAAAATTATAATTTTTGGTTATAAACTAATATGGATTTTTTTTTTACTAAAAAGATAAAGGAATAAATTTTGACAAAGATTTATGATGAAATATTATTTATTTGCAAAATTTTATTAAAAAAAACACTTTTTTTCAAAATTTTTGGACTTTTTCATTTACATAGCAAAAAAAATAAAAATCCCAGCGGTGAATAAATACCACCAAAATAAAGCTTTATCTGTCTCAAAAAAATGGTAAAAAATTCATTTGGGTACAGTGTTGCATGACCGCGCAGTTGTCATTCAAAGTGTGATAGCGCTGAAAGCTGAAAGTTGCCCTGGTCAGGAAGGGGGGGAAAGTGTCCGGACCGGTAGGGGGGAAAAGTGTCCCGACCGGAAGGGGGGGAAAGTGTCCCGACCGGAAGGGGGGGAAAGTGTCCCGACCGGAAGGGGGGGAAAGTGTCCCGACCGGAAGGGGGGGGGAAAGTGTCCCGACCGGAAGGGGGGGGAAAGTGTCCCGACCGGAAGGGGGGGAAAGTGTCCCGACCGGAAGGGGGGGAAAGTGTCCCGACCGGAAGGGGGGGGAAAGTGTCCCGACCGGAAGGGGGGGGGAAAGTGTCCCGACCGGAAGGGGGGGGAAAGTGTCCGGACCGGAAGGGGATGAAAGTGTCCGGTCTGGAAGGGGGGGAAAGTGTCCGGACTGGAAGGGGGTGAAAGTGTCCGGACTGGAAGGGGATGAAAGTGTCTGGAATGGAAGGGGGTGAGAGTGTCCGGACTGGAAGGGGGGGAAAGTGTCCGGACTGGAAGGGGGGGAAAGTGTCTGGACTGGAAGGGGGTGAAAGTGTCCGGTCTGGAAGGGGGGGGGGAAAGTGTCTGGACTGGAAGGGGGGGTGAAAGTGTCTGGACTGGAAGGGGGGGAAAGTGTCTGGACTGGAAGGGGGTGAAAGTGTCTGGACTGGAAGGGGGTGAAAGTGTCCGGACTGGAAGGGGGTGAAAGTGTCCGGTCTGGAAGGGGGGGGGGGAAAGTGTCTGGACTGGAAGGGGGGGAAAGTGTCCGGACTGGAAGGGGGTGAAAGTGTCCGGACTGGAAGGGGGGGAAAGTGTCTGGACTGGAAGGGGATGAAAGTGTCCGGTCTGGAAGGGGGGGGGGGGGGGGGGAAGTGTCTGGACTGGAAGGGGGGGAAAGTGTCCGGTCTGGAAGGGGGGGTGAAAGTGTCCGGTCTGGAAGTGGTTAACCACTTTCTGCTCAGGCCAATTTTCAGTGCAGTTACACCTTGAATGGTAGTTACTCAGTCATACAACAGTGTTCCCAAAATACATTTTTATCTGTGGTTTTTTTTTTTGTTGACAGTGCTTTCGTTTGGTGGTATTTCATCACCACTGTGATTCTTATTTTTTGCTAAATAAATAAAAAAAATACTGAAAATTTTGAACAAAAAAAAAAAACCCAAACAGAAAAAACACGTTATTAGTTTGTAATATCAAATTTTGCAAATAAATAATCTATGTAAAATTAGGCCAAAATATATTTTGCTGCATTTCTTTGGTTAAATTAAAAAAATGAACCCAAATCATTATATATAAATTTTGCCTGTGTGAAAATTATAGAGTCTACTATATATATATATATATATATTTGAACATTGATCAATTCTGATAGGACAGCTGATTTAATTACTTGAGGCCCGAAAATGCCAGGACAATACAAATACCCCCCAAATGACCCCTTTTTGGAAAGTAGACACCCCAAGGTATTCAGTAGCAGACACAGCGAGTTTTTAGAAGTTGTAATTTTTTTGTCACAATTTTTTGGAAAATGAAAAAATTAAATAAAATGTTGGGTTTTTTTCACATTTTTGTTTACATACTGTCACCAGGGCAGTACAGCGTCATCATGTGACTGGTGTGGCGGTGATCAGGCATACTGACTGGTGACAATATGTAAAAAAACAGGGTTTTCGGTAACACAATGATTGCGTCTAACAATGATGCTCACTGCTATTAGCAATATTTTTTTTATCAATGGCATCCATTCATATACAGCCATTTATTGAGTATTATTGTGATTAACAGATTGGCCACAGCTGTTACAGTGAAGGAAATAAATATTTGATCCCCTGCTGATTTTGAATGTTTGCCCCTCACAAAGAAATGATCGGTCTAAAAATCGAATGTTCGGTGTATTGTAACACTGAGAGACAGAAGAGCAACAAAAAAGTCAAAAGAAATGCGAGAGAGTGGCAACTTTACTCTGAATTCAGAAGCAGTGTAGCATTGTTGCCTTCACCATTGCAGGAAGTGGTATTAACCACTTCCTGTCCGGCCCATGTCGATAAAAGGCCGGAAGGGAGCGCTGCCAATGCGGGTGGACGTTTCTAAACATCCCCCCGCATCCATTGCCTGTGCGCACTCCCTAAAAGCGCACGGCACCACGATCGGACACAGCAGAACACAGATCGCTGTACAGGACCTCTGTGTGAGGTCCTGATTCATGTGATCACTGATTGGCCAATGAACAGTATTAAACAAGATGTCACTTCCTGACATCATTGATCACAGAGGTCACATGGTACAGGGCTATTCACAACAGCCTTGTACCATGTGCCAAGCTGTCACCAATCACAGCTCACACAGTGTTTCTCAATGGCTGTAAGAATGCCTTTATGGGTGTAAAAGCAATCAGTGTACAAAAAAAAAAAAAAAAAAAAAAAAATCATCACCCCCCCACAAGTAGTAGTGTCACTATGGTGACACTGTACTGCTAGGGTGACAGTATGTTTAACAAAAAAAACAAACAAACTAAATAATATAAAAAAAGATAAAAAATGTAGAAAAATTATAATTTTTGGTTATAAACCAATTTGGTTTTTTTTTTGCCAAAGATACAGATGAATACATTTTGGCCAAAAATGAAAAAAAACTTTTTTTTCATTTATATAGCAAAAAAATAAAAATCCCAGCGTTGAATAAATACCACCAAAATAAAGTTTTACCTGTCTCAAAAAAATTCTAAAAATTTCATATGGGTACAGTGTTGCATGACGCGCGCGCAATTGTCATCCAAAGTGTGACAGCGCTGAAAGCTGAAAATTGGCCTGGGCAGGAAGGGGGGGGGGAAGTGTCCGGACTGGAATGGGGGGGGGAAGTGTCCGGACTGGAAGGGGGGGAAAGTGTCCGGACTGGAAGGGGGGGAAAGTGTCCGGACTGGAAGGGGGGGAAAGTGTCCGGACTGGAAAGGGGGGGAAAGTGTCCGGACTGGAAGGGGGGGAAAGTGTCCCGGACTGGAAGGGGGGGGAAAGTGTCCGGACTGGAAGGGGGGGGGAAGTGTCCGGAAACTATAAAAGGGGGGGGAAAGTGTCCGGACTGGAAGGGGGGGAAAGTGTCCGGACTGGAAGGGGGGGAAAGTGTCCGGGACTGGAAGGGGGGAAAGGTCCGGACTGGAAGAAAGTGTCCGGACTGGAGGGGGGGGAAAGTGTCCGGACTGGAAGGGGGGAAAGTGTCCGGACTGGAGGGGGGGGAAAGTGTCCGGACTGGAGGATGGGGGGGAAAGTGTCCGGACTGGGGGGGGGAAAGTGTCCGGACTGGAGGGGGGGGAAAGTGTCCGGACTGGAGGGGGGGAAAGTGTCCGGACTGGAAGGGGGGAAAGTGTCCGGACTGGAAGGGGGTGGAAAGTCCGGACTGGAAGGGGGGGAAAGTGTCCGGACTGGAAGGGGGGGGAAAGTGTCCGGACTGGAAGGGGGGGAGAAAGTGTCCGGACTGGGGGGGGGGGAAAGTGTCCGGACTGGAGGGGGGGGAAAGTGTCCGGACTGGAAGGGGGTGAAAGTGTCCGGACTGGAGGGGGGGAAGTGGGACTGGAAGGGGGGTGAAAGTGTCCGGACTGGAAGGGGGTGAAAGTGTCCGGACTGGAAGGGGGGGAAAGTGTCCGGACTGGAAGGGGGTGAAAGTGTCCGGACTGGAAGTGGGGTATAATAAAAAGTGTCCAAAAAACTTGGAGGGGGGGAAGTGTCCGGACTGGAGGGGGGGGAAGTGTCCGGACTGGAGGGGGGTTGGTCCGGACTGGAAGGGGGAAGTGTCCAGACTGGAGGGGGGGGAAGTGTCCAGACTGGAAGGGGGGGGGAAAGTGTCCGGACTGGAAGTGTTTAAGTGAATTTTCCCAGGTAGGATCAACAGGTACCTGTGAGACATTTCAAGGGTCTAAGAGAAAACTAAGTGCAGATGCAATTATAACTGAAGAGGAGTTCCACTCACCCTGTCAAAAAATAAAAGTCAGCAGCTACAAAAACTGTAGCTGCTGACTTTTAAAAAACAGCCACTTACCTGTCCCTCAGTCCTGTGGTGTGTCCCCCCACAGCCAGTTTCACCGGCCGTCCTGTATTCCAGGAGGCCGGCATCTTCAGTGTGGGCACCCGGGTTTGATAGCTTGAGGCTTCACAGCTGGGTGCCCACTGCGCATGAGTGTGAGTAGCGCTGCGCCTCCTGAATGGTCCTGTAGTCTTCTGGGACCTGTCACGTATCCCAAAAGACTACAGGGAGAGAGGGTAGGACAGGGGTGGGCAAACTTTTTGACTTGAGGGCCGCAATGGGTTCATATATTGGACCCGGGGGCCGGACCAAGAGTAGATGAATGATGTGTATGTGTCATCCATAGTAAGTATAGTAATATTCCCCCACAGTAAGCATAGTAATTAATCCCCCATATAATTAATTCCCCCATATAGTAATCCATCCCCCATATAGTAATTCATAATCCCCCATATAGTAATTCATCCCCCATATAGTCCCCCCATATAGTAATCCATCCCCCATATAGTAATTCATCCCCCATATAGTAATTTATCCCCCATAGTATTCATCCCCCATATAGTAATGAATTATCCCCATAGTAATTCATCCCCCATATAGTAATCCATCCCCCATATAGTAATCCATCCCCCATATAGTAATCCATCCCCCATATATAGTAATTCATCCCCCCCCATATAGTAATTCATCCCCATATAGTAATTCATCCCCCATATAGTAATTCATCCCCCATATAGTAATTCATCCCCCATATAGTAATTCATCCCCCTAAGTATTCATCCCCCCTAGTAATTCATCCCCCATATAGTAATTCATCCCCCATATAGTAATTCATCCCCCCTAGTAATTCATCCCCCTAGTAATTCAACCCCCATATAGTAATTCATCCCCCCTATAGTAATTCATTTCCCATATTAATTCATCCCCCATAGTAATTCATCCCCCATAGTAATTCATCCCCCATATTAAGTCCCCAAGTCCCCCCTGTGTCAATTCACTTACCTTTGCTCCGCGCGTTCCTCTTGCCGTGTTCCCGCGCCGTTCCGGTGTAGCATGAAAATCTGTCTCTTATGAGGATCTGTCCCCCTCGACGTATCTGCGCATGTGCCAGTTTCAGGCATTAGCAGCCGATCGGCGATCTCCGGCACATGCGCAGATACGTCGAGGGGGACAGATCCTCATTGGAGACAAATTTTCATGCTACACCGGTCTTCAGGGCGGACTGTGAGAGGAGCCTAGCTCCGCGGGCCGGATTAAAAGGTCCCGCGGGCCGTAGTTTGCCCATTGCTGGGGTAGGAGGACACCTTCCGTTTCCGATCGCCTAGGCCAGGGCATAAAATTTCAAGTCCTGAGCAGGGGCGGACTGAACATTTGGAAACTCGGGCATTGCCCGGGACCAGTAGGGGGCCCCATGAGATGCCCCTGGTACCTTTTTCATAGGCTTTTTTGAGTTTGGACACAGGGGCCCCATGATCCCCTATTGCCCGGGGGCCACATGAGTTGTCAGTCCGCCCCTGGTCCTTAGCTACTAGCCAGGCCTTAAGAGTTACTCGCCACCAACAAACACACACAGAGACACCTGTACACACAGGCAGACATGTACATACACACAGATACATGTACACACATGCACATACAGACACATGTATACACACACAGACATGCATACACACAGATACATGTACATACACAGAAACACACACACACATGTACACACAGACACATATACGTACATACACACACGTACATGCACATACACACATACATGCCTACACAGACATGTACAGATACACACATGTACATACACACAGACACATGTACACACAGACACATGTACGTACATACATACACATGTACATGCAAACACACACACATGTACATGCCTACACAGACATGTACATGCATACACAGACACACACACCCCCCTATAAAAAGTTGCAGTACTTCGTTGTTCACTCACAGAGCCGGGTACTGCACTCTAGGGGGAGGCAGAGAGCACAGAACTCCTTGCTTTGCTTTCACTGCGCTCAGCTATTGAGCGGTCTGACGGCTCCCAGTGCCAATGACAGATCCGGCCTGAGCTCCGAGCCTGCTCAGCAAGACGGCCCTGGGGGACACACTCATCCCCACTATAATTTCCACTCGCCATTGGCGAGCAGGCGAGTGAAAATTTCAAGGCCTGGCCTAGGCGACTGGACCAGAAATGGGACTGGGTACGTGTTAAATTCAGATACCCACTCCGCCCCCCAAAAGGTGCCAATCCTTAATGGAGAGAGGGAGAGCAGTCCTTAAAGCGGAACTTCCCCTTTTGGGTGGAGCTCCGCTTTAAGTGCTACAGCATATTTTTTAATCTCACAGCATTTAAAAACAAAATTGTGAGCTTTACCTTCCTGTTGGAGCTGAGCCAAGAATAGTGCAAGGTACGTGTCTGATATGAGTTCCGGAGCCGTCAACAAGGAATTCAAGTTAAACCACTGCGGAAAAAAGGAAAAAGTAAACAAATAACGTAAGCGAGATAATTAATGACACCGCTTTTTTTTTTTTACGTTTAATTCATCACAATAATAACTGCATCAATATGCGTCTATTTACACGTGCCTGCCCAAGTGTAAGCTTCCGAAAGGATCCAAAAATGATGAAAAATAGTCACCCATGCCAAAACAATAAAAAGGTTGTTTAGGCCAAATATTTAAAAAATAAAAAAAAATCCAATTTTGAATCATCGTTGACACAGCTATCCACACTTGTCTACAGTTGGCCACACATCCTGCTAGCCTTTCAGCAGGCAACAATGCAATGTAAATACACTTCAGAACGGGGAGAAGGCGGAGCCTGAAGCAACACTGCGGGAGGGAAGCAAGTCACGCAGGTAACAGCAGTGAGCCGCTTTCAGATTTCATGCAGCGTGCTTATTCTGAGTTGATCTCCTCTGCAGTGCATGTCATGAAAGGCACAGTTTAAGAGTTACAAAAAAAAATGCAGGGCTTCCATGTTCTCCCTATTCACTCCTGACATTATAATGACACTCACTGTTAGATAAAATCGCAAGCTGAAATTTTGTACTCAGCCCGTCACAGCTCCTGTAAGAAAAAGTGTGGAAGGTACATTGGAAGGTATGATGCATAACAGAATGCTGCTCTGTCCAATCAGTGCCTTTTTTTTTTTTTTTTTTAAATTATAATATGCTGCTCAAAGCCATTTAAAGGAAGTTTGTGCTGAGAGGAATATGGAGTCTGCCATGGCTGATGTCTCCTAAAAGAACAAGTTTCCTTTAAAGCCTAGACATTTTTGTAGTAAAAGGGACCATTTTAAACAGTTTTTTGTTAGAATTAAAAAAAAAAAACAAAAAAAACAACAAAAACACACCACGATATGAAAGTTATATTCCAAAACAGAAATGAAACTTTGCAATGAAATGCAAGGCTCACTTATTACATAGCACCCCTCCCCCCCACCCCATCTGAAATCACTGCATTATACCTATAGAAAAAAAATGTGGAAAAAAGTTAGAAAAATATAATCCCCTCCCCCCTGATTTCTATGTGTCGGGTGATGTAACAATACTTCCAATGGGATCCAAGAAAGCAAAAGGATCTTGTGATAGGATGCCTTTACCCTGCGATGGAGTGTCAAGAGATTTGGGATACTTAGGGGCTCATTGAAAAAGCAGCATTATCGCTGAACTACACTGCACTGCTTTAACCACTTCCAGTCCGGACACTTTCCCTTCCTTCCAGTCCGGACACTCCCCCCCCCCCTTCCAGTCCGGACACTCCCCCCCCCCCCCTTCCAGACCGGACACTTTCACCCCCTTCCAGTCCGGACACTTTCCCTTCCTTCCAGTCCGGACACTTCCCCCCCCCCCCCCTTCCAGTCCGGACACTCCCCCCCCCCCCCCCCTTCCAGTCCGGACACTTTCACCCCCTTCCAGTCCGGACACTTTCACCCCCCTTCCAGTCCGGCACACTTTCACCCCCCCCCTTCCAGTCCGGACACTTTCACCCCCCCCTTCCAGTCCGGGCACTTTCACCCCCCCCTTCCAGTCCGGACACTTTCACCCCCTTTCCCCCCCTTCCCCGGACACCTTCCAGTCCGGACACTCCCCCCCCCCCCCTTCCAACCGAAACACTTTCACCCCCCTTCCCTGGACACCACCCCCCCTTCCAGTCCGGACACTTTTCACCCCCCCTTCCATCAACATAAAAAACAAAAACCCCCCCCCTTCCAGTCCGGGGCACTTTCACCCCCCCCCTTCCAGTCCGGACACTTTCACCCCCCCCTTCCAGTCCGGACACTTCACCACCCCCCCCCCTTCCAGTCCGGACACTTTCACCCCCCCCCCCCCTTCCAGTCCGGACACTTTCACCCCCCCCTTCCCAGTCCGGACACTTTCACCCCCCCCTTCCAGTCCGGACACTTTCACCCCCCCCTTCCAGTCCGGACACTTTCACCCCCCCCTTCCAGTCCGGACACTTCACCCCCCCCTTCCAGTCCGGACACTTCACCCCCCCCCCTTCCAGTCCGGACACTTTCCCCCCCTTCCAGTCCGGACACTTTCCCCCCCTTCCAGTCCGGACACTTTCCCCCCCTTCCAGTCCGGACACTTTCCCCCCCTTCCAGTCCGGACACTTTCCCCCCCTTCCAGTCCAGACACTTTCCCCCCCTTCCAGTCCAGACACTTTCCCCCCCTTCCAGTCCAGACACTTTCCCCCCCTTCCAGTCCAGACACTTTTCCCCCCTTCCAGTCCAGACACTTTCCCCCCCTTCCAGTCCAGACACTTTCTCCCCCTTCCAGTCCAGACACTTTCACCCCCTTCCAGTCCGTTGTGAATGGCCCTGTACCATCTGACCTCTGTGATCATTCACAGATTTCACATGTAGTAAGCAATGATGTCAGAAGTGACATCTTGCTTACTACTCTGCATGTGATCACTGATTGGCCAATCAGTGATCACATGATTGGAACCTCACACAGAGGTCCCGTACAACGATCGGTGTTCCACTGTGTCCGGAGGACACAGCGGGCACCGGATCGCAGTGCTGTGCACTCCCAGGGAGCGTGCACAAGCAGGGGGCGGGGAGGCCGTTTATAAATGGCCACCTGCACTGTTCCCGTCCGGCCGTTTTATATACATTGGCTGGACGGGAAGTGGTTAAAGTTGAACTCCAAGGAAAAGAAAAACTACCCTTACAGTGGTGTGTTTCCCCTCATTCCCAACAATGCAAGGATTGCATGCTTTAGGGCAGGGGTGTCAAACTTCATTTCATCGTGGGCCATATCAGCATTATGGTTGCCCTCAAAGGGCTGGTTGTATCAGTAAGACTAGATGTCCAGAGCACCCATCCCCCCCATTACATCAGATGTCAAGAATCCCGCACCCTCCCTAACATCATCGTGCACCCCCTTTGGGGCAGAAAGTGCAGGGTCTGGAGGAGGACCAGAGGAGGAGTGGAGTCAGTAAACCAGAGTCTGCTGAATGCTGAGACCAGGGGAGGCAGAGATGAGGAGGTGCTGCAGCTGCACTGAGAGGTGCAGAATTTGGCAGAGGAGTTCTATTCTCCTCTCTGCTGCTGACTGCTGAGACAAGGTGGCGGCAGAAACAAGGGGGTACCTGCAGGAGAGGTGCAAAGGCCACACGAAATGGCCTGGAGGGCCGGATTTGGCCCATAGGCCTTGTGTTTGACACCTGTGCTCTAGGGTAACAAAAAATAAAAAATAAAATTAGATGAAAAAAAAAACAAAAACATTCTTTCCTTATCCCTCATTCCCTGGTAACCTGGGCTCTCAACATCACTGTGTGGCTCCAAGATGTGAGAGGGTCATCTGCATCCTCAGATACAATGTAGGACTGCCAGTCCTGCACTGTGTGTGACGACATCAGAGAGTGACTGACAAATAGAGGTCAGAAGAGAAGCAGCTTCTGGGGGGTGATCACAGATAGGAGGAAGCCTCTGAGAGCGAGGAATAAGGGGAGTAAAAATGCTTTGTTAATGGTACCCTAGATAGAGATTCGCATACAACCCTGGAAGTGCAAATGGAGCCGCACTGCAATACATTCATATGACACTACAATGTGCTGTACAAATGCAAATGTGTTCCGCCAGCTTCAGGGCCCTGAATGCAAAAAAACCCCCAAAAAGGAATATAGATTATTAATAATAAAAAATGTTGTATGTATGCATATCTCCAAAACTGATTTAGAGGAACTCAAGGGTCATGCAGAGGAGGAAGATCAAACACAGCATATACATACACACACACATATATACACACACACACATGTATATATATATAACACATATATATATACACACACACACACATACATATATATATATATATATACACACATACACACACACATATATAATATATATATATATATACACACACACATACATACATATATATATATATATATATATATATACACACACACACACACACACATACACACACACATATATATATATATATACACACACACATACATACATACATATATACACACACACACACACACACACATATATATATACACATACATACATACACACATACATACACACATACACACACACACATATATATATATACACACACATACATATATACAGTGGGGATCGAAAGTTTGGGCACCCCAGCTAAAAATGTGTATTAATGTGCATAAAGAAGCCAAGGAAAGATGGAAAAATCTCCAAAAGGCATCAAATTACAGATTAGACATTCTTATAATATGTCAACAAAAGTTAGATTTTATTTCCATCATTTACACTTTCAAAATAACAGAAAACAAAAAAATGGCGTCTGCAAAAGTTTGGGCACCCTGCAGAGTTAATATCTTGTACTGCCCCCTTTGGCAAGTATCACAGCTTGTAAACGCTTTTTGTAGCCAGCCAAGAGTCTTTCAATTCTTGTTTGAGGTATCTTTGCCCATTCTTCCTTACAAAAGTCTTCCAGTTCTTTGAGATTTCTGGGCTGTCTGTCACGCACGGCTCTTTTAAGGTCTATCCATAGATTTTCAATTATGTTGAGGTCAGGAGATTGTGAAGGCCGTGGCAAAACCTTCAGTTTACGCCTCTTGATGTAATCCCCCCGTGGATTTCGAGGTGTGTTTAGGATCATTATCCATTTGTAGAAGCCATCCTCTCTTTAACTTCAGCTTTTTCAGATGGCATCAAGTTACCATCCAAAATTTGCTGAAATTTTATTGAATCCATTTTTCCTTCTACTCGTGAGATGTTCCCTGTGCCACTGGCTGCAACACAACCCCAAAGCATGATTGATCCAACCCCATGCTTAACAGTTGGACAGAGGTTCTTTTCATTCAATTCTGTGCCCCTTCTTCTCCAAACGTACCTTTGCTCATTCCGGCCAAAAAGTTCCATTTTAACCTCATCGGTCCACAGAACTTGTTTCCAAAATGCATCAGGCTTGTCTATATGTTCATTTGCAAAGTTCAAACGATGATTTTTGTGGTGAGGACGTAGAAGAGGTTTTCTTCTGATGACTCTTCCATGAAGACCATATTTGTACAAGTATCTCTTTATAGTGGAATAGTGTACCACAACTCCAGTGTCTGCCAGATCTTTCTGGAGGGATCGTGCAGTCAAACGTGGGTTTTGAATTGTTTTTCTCACAATCCTGCGAGCTGTTCTGTCTGATATTTTTCTTGGTCTTCCAGATCTTGCTTTAACTTCCACTGTTCGTGATGACTGCCATTTCTTAATTACATTCCAAAAGAGGATATTGACATCTGAAAACGCTTTGCTATCTTCTTATAGCCTTCTCCAGCTTTGTGAGCGTCAACTATTTTCAGTTTTCTAGACAACTGCTTAGAAGAACCCATGGTGCTGATTGTTGGGGCAAGGTCAGATGAGTCTGGGCATTTAAAACCTTTGAGATTGACATCACCTGGTCTTCCCAGACGATGATTGAGAACAATCCATGACACTGGCAGGTCTCAGCTTGGCAAAGGGGGCAGTGCATGCTATAAATTCTGCAGGGTGCCCAAACTTTTGCAGACGCCATTTTTGTTTTCTGTTATTTTGAAAGTGTAAATGATGGAAATAAAATCTAACTTTTGTTGACATATTATAAGAATGTCTAATCTGTAATTTGATGCCTTTTGGAGATTTTTCCATCTTTCCTTGGCTTCTTTATGCACATTAATACAAATTTTTAGCTGGGGTGCCCAAATGTTCGATCCCCACTGTATGTATATATATATATATACACACACACACACACATACATATATATACACACACATATTATACATATACACACACACACACACACAACATACACATACACACACACACACACACATATATTATACATATACACATACCGCTCAAAAAAGACCTCAATGGGGAGGAATCTCCTGCTGGATCTCTACTGACATGGACGGGGTGATGGGTGAGGAACGTAAGGATGCCCCATCGTTGGATGGAAATGAAAATGATCGACCTACAGAGGACTGAATTCAAAGACACCCCGAAAATCAAAGTGAAGAAATGATGCAGCAGGCGAGTCCATGTTGGTGAAATGTCATTGCAGCAACTCAGAATGGTCCTCAGTAGTCTGTGTGGCCCCCACGTCTTGTATGCATGCCTGACAATGTCGGGGGGAAGCTAATGAGACCATGGATGGTGTCCTGGGGGATTTCCTCCCAGATCTGGACCAGGGCATCACTGAGCTCCTGGACAGTCTGAGGTGCAACCTGGCAGTGTCAGATGGACTGAAACATGATATCCCAGAGATGTTCTATTGGATTTAGGTCAGGTGAGCGTGAGGGCCATTCAATGGTATCAATTCCTTCATCCTCCAGGAACTGCCTGCATACTCTCTCCCCACATGAGGCCGGGCATTGTCTGCACCAGGAGGAACCCAGGACCCACTGCACCAGGAGGAACCCAGGACCCACTGCACCAGGAGGAACCCAGGACCCACTGCACCAGGAGGAACCCAGGACCCCCTGCACCAGGAGGAACCCAGGACCCCCTGCACCAGCGTAGGGTCTGACAATGGGTCCAAGGACTTCATCCAGATACCTAATGGCGGTCAGGGTACCACTGTCTAGCCCAGGGGTAGGCAACCTGCAGCTCTCTAGCTGTTGTGGAACTACATTTCCCATGAGGCATTGCAACATTACAAAACTGACAGTTACAGCTATGACTTGCAGAGGCATGATGGAATTTGTAGACCTGCAACAGCTGGCGAGCCGCAGGTTGCCTACCCCTGGGCTAGCCTGTAGAGGTCTGTGTATCCCTCCATGGATATGCCTCCCCAGACCATCACTGACCCACCACCACAACGGTCATGCTGAACCATGTTACAGGCAGCAGAATGTTCTCCACGGCTTCTCCAGACCCTTTCACGTCTGTCACATGTGCTCAGGGGGAACCTGCTCTCATCTGTGAAAAGCACAGGGACCAGTGGTGGACCTGCCAATTCTGGGGTTCAATGGAAAATGCCAATCAAGCTCTATGGTGCTGGGCAGTGAACACAGGGCCCACTAGAGGACGTCGAGCCCTCAGGCCACCCTCATGAAGTCTGTTTCTGATTGTTTGGTCAGAGACATTCACACCAGTGGCTTGTTGGAGGTCATTTTGTAGGGCTCTGGCAGGGCTCATCCTGTTCCTCCTTGCACAAAGGAGCAGATACCGGTCCTGCTGATGGGTTAAGGACCTCCTCCGGCCCTGTCCAGCTCTCCTAGAGGAACTGCCTGTCTCCTGGAATCTCCTCCATGCTCTTGTCTCCTGGAATCTCCTCCATGCCTTGAGACTGTGCTGGGAGATGCAGCAAACCTTCTGGCAATGGTACGTATTGATGTGATGGATGGGGGGATGGGGATGGATGGATGGATGGTGGGGATGGATGGGTGGGGGGGGGGGGGAGGGTGGTGGGGTGGGGGGGGGATGGGGGGATGGATGGAGAGATGGATGGATGGAGGGGTGGAGTGGATGGGGGGGGGAGGGGATGGATGGGGAGATGGGGGGATGGAGGGGGGGATGGATGGGGGGGGGGGGGGGGATGGGGGGGGAGGGATGGATGGGTGGGGATGGATGGGTGGGGAGGGGGGGATGGGGGGGGATGGGGGAGGGGGGGGGAAAGGGGGATGGGGAATGGGGGGGGTGGGGATGGATGGGGAGGGGGGGATGGGTGGGGAGGGGGGGGGGGGGGATGGTGGGAGGGGGGGAGGGGGGGGGGGAGGGATTGGATGTGGGGTTTGGTTGGGGATAGGGGGGGGGGGATGGATTTGGGAGGATGGATGGATGGGGGAGAGGTGGGGGGGGGTGGAGGGGGGGAGGGGATGGAGGGAGGGGGTGGGGAGTGGGTTGGGGGGGGGATGGAGGGGGGGAGGGGGGTGGGGGATGGGAGGGGGAATGGGGAGGGATGGGGAGGTTAAGTGGGAGGGGGGGGGAAGGGATGGGGGGATAGAGGGATGGGGTAAGCGGGGGGGGAGGGGGGGATGGGGGTGGGGGGTAGGGGGGGATGGGGAGGGGGGGGGGGGGGATGGGGATGGGGGGGGTGGATGGGTGGGGGGGGGGGGGGGGGGGGGGGGGGGGGGGGGGGGGGGGGGGGGGGGGGGGGGGGGGGGGGGTGGGGGGGGGGGGGATGGGGTGGGGGGGGGGGGGGGGGAGGGGGGGGGGGGGGGGGGGGGGGGGGGGGGGGGGGGTTGTGGGGGGGGGGGGGGTGTGGGGGGGGGGGGGGTTTTTGGGGGGGGGGGGGGGGGGGGGGATGGTGGGGGGGGGGGGGGGGGGGGGGGGGGGGGGGGGGGGGGGGGGGGGGGGGGGGGGGGGGGGGGGGGGGGGGGGGGGGGGGGGGGGGTGGGGTGGGGGGGGGGGGGGGGGGGGGGGGGGGGGGGGGGGGGGGGGGGGGGGTGGGGGGGGGGGGGGGGGGGGGGGGGGGGGGGTTGGGGGGATGGGGGGGGTGGTGGGGGGGGGGTGGGGGGGGGGATGGGGGGGGGGTGGGGGGGGGGGGGGGGGGGGATGGAGGGGGGGGGGGGGGGGGGGGGGGGGGGGGATTCTTCTGAATGGGGTAAATGGGGGTTTAAAAATGGAGGGAGGGGGGGGGGGAGCACACGTTAGGTGACGTTGAGGGGGGGGTTTTGTACCCTTTTGGGTATAATGCAGCAATTGCAGACAGGAAGTGGCTCTTCATGGAGAAGCCGCGCATTTCTGTGCAAGATCAGCTTTGTAACCAAATAACATACAACATAGCACACCTACCTGTTTGCCTAGTTTTCCGTACAGTAAACCAGTGTTTTTTATAATTGGGGGTGGGGGGGCTCGTTTTTTTTCTAGGAATGAAATAAAATATTTAAAAAAGATTGTTTAAAAATTAAAAAAAAAAAAAAAAAATCAATCAGTCTACAGTTGCAAGGAGCCCTGCAAAACCAAATACATTTTTTTTTTACTTATGTTGGTGAAAGGCCAATCAACTTTCACCCAAAACAATGCAAACTAAATGTAAATTGTGTGAAATGAGGGGGGGGGGGTCTTACTAAAACTGGAGAGTGCAAATTTTGATGCAGCTTGCATAGAAACCAATTCAGCTTTTTTTTTTTTTTATTGTCAAAGCTTACTTGTTTTTTGATTGGCTCCCAGGCCCAGTTTGCACCAGATTCTAAGTGCTCCGGTTTTAGTAAATCTCCCCCAATATATTTTTTGGTCATTATGGACTGAATGAATATTCTCTGCATAGTGCTGCTAGAACTGTCAGAACTATATTTGTTTCATAAAAATTAATGAATTTATAATGTATTTTATTTGTTACACTTGTAACAAATATCCAACAGGGTTTCGGGGGTTCAAAGGCTCCCCCTATCACCAGGGCTTGGTACTGCAGGACTGATAACCGAACATTTTTTTGTTGGAGGATCTGGCGTACTGCACTAAACACCGATCTTATGACTGAAGCCCATTTTTAGGACTGTAAAAGACATTTTTTACATGGGGTCGATGCCGAGGGGGTCTGATATTTGGACTGTTGAACAGGATCAATTCTAATTTTTTATATTTTTTCATTTTTTTATAACCTGGAAAAAACAGCAAAAAGAAGCAGCAGACAGTGAGAGTCATTTCACATCAATCCATTGTCGTCTCACACAAAGAATTCCACTACTGCATCGATCGCACGTTTACACAGAACGAGTGCAAATTTTTATACTCGAAGACCCGGCATTTTCTGCAACGTTTTTGTTTAAATCCGTACTTTTTGCTAGAAAAGGACTTATAAACCTAACATCATATGTTTTTTTTTTTTCAGCAAAGACCCTAGAAAATGACATGGAGGTTGTTGCAATTTTTTTATGTCACGGTATTCGTTTATAAAATCGTTTTTTTTGGAAAAAAAAAACACTTTAGCTAATTAGTGAATAAAAAAAAAAAAAAAAAATTATATATATATATATATATATATATATATATATATATATATATATATATTTTTAACACATATATATATTAAAATAATAAAAAATATTTTATATAATAATATATATATATATATATAATTATATATATATATAAAAAAAACCACACAAACATATATAAAACCAACACACACACACGCCACACACATATATATACACATATAAATACACACACACACACACATATATACAGACACATACACACGCACACACACACACACATATACACCCTGTTCCAAATTATTATGCAAATTCTATTTAAGTGTCACAAAGATGAAATAGTTTGTTTTTCAGTGTAACTCATGGATGGCATTGTGTGTCAGGGCTCTTTTGATCACTGAAAACAATCTCGGACACCTGTGATGATTAGATTGGCCGGTGTGAGCCCAATTTAAGGGAAAACTACTAAAGGACGGCATTTCCCCATTATTAAGCAGAGCACCATTTTCAAGAAAAAGGATCTCTGTTGCCAAAAAGAGTGAAATAGTTCGATGCCTTGGACGAGGGATGAAAACATTCGATATTTCAGGAAAACGTAAGCGTGATCATCGCACTATGAAGAGATTTGTGGCTGATTCAGAGCACAGACGGGTTTGGTGCAGATAAAGGCACATTGAGGAAGATTTCTGCCAGATCCATGCATCGGATCAAGAGAGCAGCTGCTAAAATCCCATTACATAGCAGCAAACAGATATTTGAAGCTGCTGGTGCCTCTGGAGTCCCACGGACATCAAGGTGTAGAGTCCCCCAGAGTCTTGCAACTGTGCATAAACCTTCTATTCGGCCACCCACTAACCAATGCTCACAAGCAGAAACGGCTGCATTGGGCAGAAAAAAATACATGAAGACTCATTTTCAAACAGTCCTGTTCACTGATGAGTGCCGTGCAACCCTGGATGGTCCAGATGGATGGAGTAGTGGATGGTTGGTGGATGGCCACCCTGTTCCAACAAGGACACTTCTGCGACATCAGCAAGGCGGTGGTGGAGTCATGTTTTGGGCCAGAATCATGGGAACAGAGCTGGTCGGCCCCTTTAGGGTCCCCGAAGGTGTAAAGATGACCTCTGCAAAGTATGTGGAGTTTATGACTGACCACTTTTTTCTTCCTCTGGTACAGAAGGAAGAACTATGCTTTCCGTAATAAAATCATCTTCATGCATGACAATGCACCATCTCATGCTGCAAAGAATACCTCTGCATCAATGGCTGCTATGGGGATAAAAAGGATTTGAGAAAGTCATGTGTGTGGCCTCCATCCTCCCCTGACCTCAATCCTATTGAGAACCTTTGGAGCATCCTCAAGCAAAAGATCTATGAGGGTGGGAGGCGGTTTACATCCAAACAGCAGCTCTGGGAGGCTATTCTGACATCTTGCAAACAAATTCAAGCAGAAACTGTCCAAAAACTCCCAAGTTCAATGGATGCCAGACTTGTGATCTGCTATCAGATAAGGGCTCCTATGTTACAATGTAACGTGACCGCTTCAAATGTTTACAAAGTTACAATGTTGGGAAAAGTTTGATTGAAATAGCTTTTGATTTCAGTAAATTTGCTGCAAACACAACAAATGACAATTTTCAGTTCTTTACAACCTAGAAAGTGTTTTGAAACTTCCTGTGCGGAATAATTTGGAACAAAAATCCTGTTATCATTAGGAGGTTTGTGCAATAAAATGTGAATTGTCCTCTTATAGTTTTGTAACCTGAGAATTCTGCCGACTGATATTTACATCAATTATTGAGGGAAATGAAAAAATATCATTTGCAGAATAATTTGGAACACGGCAACACACATTTTATTATATATATTTGTGATATATATATATAAATATATATATATACATACAACACACACACATATACATACACACACATATATATACACACACACACCCTGATTTTTTGAAAAATATGAAAGAGGATGTTACGGCGAGTAAACAGATACCTAACATGTCCCGCTTTAAAACTGCGCACCACTTGTGGAATGGCGACAAACTAAGGTACTCAAAAATCTCCATAGGTGATGCTTTTAAACATTTTTTTACAGGTTACCTGTTTGCAGTTACAGTGTGTGTGTTCAATCTCCCTGCTGCCATTCACTTCCAAGCTCCTTGAGCGCTTAGTCTACAATCGCCTACGCTCCCACCTCACTGACAACAACCTCCTCGACCCCCTACAATCTGGCTTCCGCCCCCCTACACTCCACCGAAACCGCCCTCCTCAAAATCACTAACGACCTGCTAACCGCCAAAGCTAATGGCCACTACTCAGTCCTCTTACTCCTCGACCTCACCGCGGCCTTCAACACAGTCCACCACCCCCTCCTCCTTAATAAACTACACTCCCTCGGCATCAGAGACTCCGCTCTCTCCTCCTATCTATCCCAACGCTCCTTGAGCTATACCTATAACGCTGCCACCTCCCCCTCTCTGTTGGGGTCCCCCAAAGCTCTGTCCTCGGTCCCCTTCTCTTCTCCATCTACACCTCCTCCCTCAGCAAACTGATACACTCCCACGGCTTCAACTACCACCTCTATGCTGATGACACACAAATTTACCTCTCCACCCCCTCACCTCACCCCCTCAGTCTCCGCCCGTATCGCCCACCTACTGATCGACATATCAGACTGGATGTCGTTCCATTTCCTCAAACTGAACCTTTCCAAAACCGAGCTCCTGATTGCGCCCCCCCCCCCCCCCCTCTCCATCACGACCAACAACGCCACCATCAGTCCCACCCTGCAAGCCAAAGCCCTGGGTGTCACCCTGGACTCAAACCTTTACTTCCAACCCCAGGTCCAATTGTTGGCAAACTCATGCAGGTTCCACCTCCGCAACATCTCCAAAATACGTTCGTTCCTAACCCCGGACACTACTAAACAACTCGTTCACTCCCTCATTATCTCACGCCTGGACTACTGCAACTCCCTTCTCACCGGCCTACCTCATCACAGACTATCCCCGCTTCAGTCAATCCTGAACTCAGCAGCCAGACTCATCCACCTCACCAACCGCTCCACTTCTGCCACCCCCCTCTGTTATTCCCTCCACTGGCTCCACCCCCCTCTGTCATTCCCTCCACTGGCTCCACCCCCCTCTGTCATTCCCTCCACTGGCTCCCGATTGCCCAACGCATTGAATTCAAACTACTAACACTGACATACAAAGCCATTCACAACGCCGCCCCAAACTACCTCACCGACCTGATACCCAAATACCACCCTACCTGTAATCTTCGCTCCTCACAAGACCTCCTACTTTCTAGCTCCCTGGTCTCCACCTCCCACGCCTGACTGCAGGTCTTTTCCAGGACTTCCCCCATCCTCTGGAACTCACTACCCCAATCCATCAGACTGTCACCTACCCTCCTCACCTTTAGGCGCACCCTGAAAACCCACCTCTTCAGGGAAGCCTACCCCGCCCTCACCTAAGAGCAGATCTCCTCCACTCCTCCCACCACTCCATCCCCCACAGCCACTTCCTCCTGTACCACTATCCCCTCCCTCCTAGATTGTAAGCTCCAAGGAGCAGGGCCCTCGAACCCCTCGTGTATTGTATTGTTACTGTATTGTCTCATGTTCTGTCCCCACTATAATGTACAGCGCTGAGCAAACCTTTTAGCGCTATATAAATACTGTATAATAATAATAATATATTATATATTACATTCCCATCAGTCTCCGCCCTCGAGGAGCGTGCAATCTAAGGTCCCTCTAACTCACATTCATACATACTAGGGCCAAGTTAGACAGGACCCAATTAACCTACCAGCATGTCTTTGGAGTGTGGGAGGAAACCGGTGTGCCCAGAGGAAACCCACGCAGGCACAGGAAGAACATGCAAACTCCAGGCAGGCAGGTGCCGTGGTTGGGATTCAAACCAATGACCCTAGTGCTGCCAGGCGGAAGTGCTAACCATTTAGCCACTGTGCTGCCCATACAAGCCATATGGAAGAAAAATATATTTGAAATATGTCAGCGTTACCTAGGGTGGTGTCATGCAGATACAGCCTGCCTAGGGAGACCCACTCCTTTGGACTGATACATACATCAAGGCATTTTGACATTTATATCACCACTCCGCCTCTCCACCTCATCTAATCAGTGAATGCTTTGCATTTAATGAGAAAAAAGTATTTTATGAATGGATGCCTGTGCCCAATGGCCGATCTTCTGTATTCAGAATGCAGCAAGGCAGCTGCTTGGCTGCTGTAAAGCATCTCGACTGACATTTTGACAGATGAGAATTGCCAGCAAATGGGGAAGTGCGGCTTAAAGGGCAGTGCGTACTCCATGTCCTGAGTACTTCAGTGACGTTATACTGGCTGTGTAGCATCCCCAGTATCTACAACTGGTTACATTTCCACATCCTAATAAAACATACTTTTTGTTCACCAACACTGCTCAGTTCACTACTTGAATATCTTTTACTAGAATGTTCATATACCAGAAGATTCCATCCATGGCAGGTAACATGCATTTTCTTTTTTACGTAGACACGCTTACCTGAATAGAGAAGAATCCGCTGTCATCCATGTTTCCAGATGGTTGCTGTAATGCCAAAGGTGGAAACATCAGTAATAATACAAAAGACCCACAACATGCTGACAATTTGCATTTACTTTACCCCTTGACCTCACATCTCAAAGAAAGTGTCGCCTAAAGAAGTGACACAAAGTCTCCAATCTATTACATGGGGCATGGAAGTCTAAAGGGATGCTAGGGATGTGTTCTTTTATACAGTATACGGTTTTGAAACAAAATGATGGATGGCAGACAAAGCCAAAAACTGTATCAACAGTACAGATGAAAAGAAAAGAGGATTGATCATCAGAGTCGTCCCGACAGAAAATGGAAGTGGGCTCATGATAGCCGCCGTACGTCAAAGAGTTATATTGTGGAGATGCAAAGTTTGTAGGAGAAGAAGAGTAATCTCTTTCAACATGAGAAAATGTGAGCAAAATCTCTGATGTTTCTGTACTAAACAGTGGCGATTCACTACAGGAACTCTTTAACCTGTTGTGCTGAAGTAACAAATATGCGGCATTGTGGAAGTGGGGTCTTCTCTTGGGGTCCACATACAGTATGTGCTTTCTGCTGTTTTAGTTCCCGACTCCCGATGGCTTGTGTATGACCAGGAGCTATCAATGACAGGTAAAGGGGTTCTAAAGGCTCAAGGTTTGCACTCCATGCATGAAGATAAGAAACCTTCTCTGTGCAGCATCCCCCCCAACCCCCTAATACTCACCTAACTCCCCTCTCGATGCAGCGATGTGCACTGGAGTCTCAGCTATCCTCCCACTTCTCACTGCCTGAGACAGAAGCAGGAGCCATTGGCTCCCACTGCTGTCAATCGCAGCCAGTGAACCAGTGAGAAGAGGAGGGAATGGACACACGGAACAGCAGGAGCCCCCATAGCAAGCTGCTAGCTATGGGGGCACCCGACAGGAGGGAGGGGCCAGGAGCACCAGTGGGGGACCCGAGAGGAAGAGGATTCGGGCTGCTCTGGCCAGAAGCGTTACACAGCGCAGCTCTGGGCAGAAGCGTTACACAGAGCAGCTCTGGGCAGAAGCGTTACACAGAGCAGCTCTGGGCAGAAGCGTTACACAGAGCAGCTCTGGGCAGAAGCGTTACACAGAGCAGCTCTGGGCAGAAGCGTTACACAGAGCAGCTCTGGGCAAAAGCGTTACACAGAGCAGCTCTGGGCAGAAGCGTTACACAGCGCAGCTCTGGGCAGAAGCGTTACACAGAGCAGCTCTGGGCAGAAGCGTTACACAGAGCAGCTCTGGGCAGAAGCGTTACACAGAGCAGCTCTGGGCAGAAGCGTTACACAGAGCAGCTCTGGGCAGAAGCGTTACACAGAGCAGCTCTGGGCAAGAAGCGTTACACAGCGCAGCTCTGGGCAAAAGCGTTACACAGCGCAGCTCTGGGCAGAAGCGTTACACAGCGCAGCTCTGGGCAGAAGCGTTACACAGCGCAGCTCTGGGCAAAAGCGTTACACAGAGCAGCTCTGGGCAAAAGCGTTACACAGAGCAGCTCTGAGCAAAAGCCATTACACAGAGCAGCTCTGAGCAAAAGCCATTACACAGAGCAGCTCTGAGCAAAAGCCATTACACAGAGCAGCTCTGGGCAGAAGCAATTACACAGAGCAGCTCTGGGCAGAAGCGTTACACAGAGCAGCTCTGGGCAGAAGCGTTACACAGAGCAGCTCTGGGCAGAAGCGTTACACAGAGCAGCTCTGGGCAGAAGCGTTACACAGCGCAGCTCTGGGCAAAAGCGTTACACAGCGCAGCTCTGGGCAGAAGCGTTACACAGCGCAGCTCTGGGCAGAAGCGTTACACAGCGCAGCTCTGGGCAGAAGCGTTACACAGCGCAGCTCTGGGCAAAAGCGTTACACAGAGCAGCTCTGGGCAAAAGCGTTACACAGAGCAGCTCTGAGCAAAAGCCATTACACAGAGCAGCTCTGAGCAAAAGCCATTACACAGAGCAGCTCTGAGCAAAAGCCATTACACAGAGCAGCTCTGAGCAAAAGCCATTACACAGAGCAGCTCTGGGCAAAACCATTACACAGAGCAGCTCTGGGCAAAACCATTACACAGAGCAGGTAAGTATAGACATGTTATTTTTTACTTAAAAAAAAAAAAAAAGAGCCTTAGAATCACTTGAAGTCTTCATTCTGGAAGTGCGCTCCCAGCATGGAGAACTGTCACTGGTCTGTTACCAACGATGGGAATCCGGGAGTCCCAGCTCCTGATCACATGATCGCTCTGAAAGCCTGCGAATGGCTGTCAGTGATCAATCAGAAAACCCACTCCTGGTACTGTTTCTCCTTTGTATGGAGAAAAATACATTGTAACTTTGTTTTCTTTTTCTCCTAGCTAGAGGAGAAAGTGATAGCAAAAAAAAACAAAAAACAAAAGAAAAAAAATGTTTGTATTCAACAGAAAAAAATAATAAAGATAAAAAGATTAAAAAAAAAAATAAAAAAAGATAAAGATAGAATAGAATGATCAGGGCCTAATCTGCAGCGCTCAGCATAAATGAGTCCACCTCTTTCGAAAAGTAAGATTTGAATCAATATCTCAATGTACACACACAAACAATCTCTACAACTTTGACCAAACTGACTTTTATAGAACATTTGTTCGGCTCATTACATGAAAGGAAGGTTAATAATATAACTTAGATTACAAAGTCTTCAGTTTTACTCCAATTAGTTGCTGCAGAAATGAATCCACCCCACAACAAGAACTCCTCCATCTATATTCTGTATGACCTCCATGATTTGTAAGGACGGCACCGAGTCTTCTAGGCATGGAATGGACAAGTTGGTGACATATTGCAACATCGATCTTTTTCCATTCTTCAGGAACGACCTCTTTCAGAGCCTGGATGCTGGATGAAGAATGATGCTCAGCTTGTCTCTTCAGAACTCCCCATAGGTGTTCGGTTGGGTTCAGATCAGGAGACAGACTTGGCCACTGAATCACTGTCACCCGGTTCTTCTTCAGAAATGCCACACTGGCCTTAGATGTGCGTGTTGGATCATTGTCATGTTGGAAAAGTGCACGACGACCGAGGGCACGGAGTGATGGTGGCATTTTCTTTCAATATAGAGCAGAATATCTGTGAATTCATGACACCATCAATGAAATGCAGCTCCCTGACACCAGCAGCACTCATGCAGCCCCACAGAAGGACACTGCCACCACCATGTTTCACAGTAGGCACCATGCATTTTTCTTTGCACTCCTCACCTTTGTGATACCAAACAGTTTTGAAGCCATCAGTTCCAAAAACATTTATCTTGGTCTCATCACTTCAGAGTACAGAGTCCCAGTAGTCGTCTTTTTCAGCATGGGCCCTGGCGAATTCTATGCGGGCTTCTTTGTGCATGGGATTTAGGAGAGGCTTCCTTCATGAAGGACACCCATGAATGCCATTCCTCTGCAGTGTACGCCGTATTGTGTCACGGGAAACAATCACCCCAGTTTGGCTTCCCACTTCTTTAACTACAGTGTCTCGAAAAAAGTCTTCCTACCCCTTGAAATGTCCCCCGTGTTGTCATGTTACAATGTATTTATTGGGATTGGATGTGATGGACCGACACAAAGCGGCACATAATTGTGAAGTGGAAAGAAGATGAGAAATGGTTTCCAACATTTGTGACCAATAAATCTGTGAAAAGCGTGGCGGCATTTGTATTCGGCCCCCCAGAGTCAATGCTTTGTAGGACCCCCTTTGGCTGCAATTCCAGCTGCAAGTCTTTTTGGGGATGTCACTTTGCACATCTAGAGAGGGACATTTCTGCCCATTCTTCTTCGCAGAATCCCTCAAGCTCTGTCAGATTGGATGGAGAGCGTCTGGGAACAGCAATTTTCAAGTCTTGCCACAGATCCTCCATTGGATTTAGGTCTGGACTGTGACTGGGCCATTCTAACACATGAAGATGCTTTGATCTAAACCATTCCATTGTAGCTCTGGCTGGATGTTTCGGGTCGTTGTCCTGCTGGAAGGGGAACCTCCGCCCCAGTCAAGTCTTCTGCAGACTCTAACAGGTCTTCCTCTAAGATTGCCGTGTATTTGGCTCCATCCATCTTCCCATCAACTCTGACCAGCTTTACTGTCCTTGCTGAAGAAAAGCATCCCAACCACATGATGCTGCCACCACCATGTTTCACAGTAGGGATGGTGTGTTCAGGGTGATGTGCAGTGTTAGGTTTCCACCACACTTTTAGGCCAAAAAGTTCCATTTTAGTCTCCTCTGACCAGAGCCCCTTCTTCCACATGTTTGCTGTGCCCCCCACATGGCTTCTCGCAAACTGAAAACGGGACTTCTTATGGCTTTCTTTCAACAATGGCTTTCTTCTTGTCACTCTTCCATAAAGGCCAGATTTGTGGAGTGCACGACTAATAGTTGTCCTGTGGACAGATTCTCCCCCCTGAGCTGTGGATCTCTGCAGCTCCTCCAGCGTTCCCATGGGCCTCTTGGCTGCTTCTCTAATTAAGCCTCTCCTTGCCCGCCCTGTCAGTTTAGCTGGACGGCCATGTCTTGGTAGGTTGGCAGTTGTGCCATATTTTTTCCATTTTCGGATGATGGATTGAACAGTGCTCTGTGAGATGTTTAAAGCTTTGGATATTTTTTCATAACCTAATTCTGCTTTAACCTTCTCCACAACTTTATCCCTGACCCTTCTGGTGTGTTTCTTGGCCTCCATGATGTGGTTTGTTCACTAATGTTCTCTAACAAACCTCTAAAGGGGTTCACAGAACAGCTGTATTTATACTGAGATCACATGACACACAGGTGGACTCTGTTTACTAATTAGGTGACCTCTGAAGGCAATTGGTTCCACTAGATTTTAGTTAGGGGTATCAGATTAAAGGGGGCTGAATACAAATGCACGCCACACTTTTCAGATTTTATCTGTAAAAAATTTTGAAAACCATTAATCATTTTCCTTGCACTTCATAATTATTGCCACTTTGTGTTGGTCTGTCACATAAAATTCCACTAAAATACATTCACGTTTTTGGTTGTAACATGACAA